TCCTACAGACTTTCCACCCTTGGTTTTCTTTAAAGCCTCCTCAACTTTTTTTTTGCTAATGCGACGGTAAAAATGAAACGTTTTATTATTATTTATGATATTAAAATCACTCAGTTCGATCGTATTTTCAGAAACTTCATTAAAAAGTTTATCAAAATAACCCACTCACCTATGTTGAATATTTTTTTCTAAGAAAAGTAATTTTTAATTTTCATCTTTAATACACTTTACTTGAGTTAAATCTTTACTTTTCTTTTCTCTTTGTTTGACTAATTTATATATACTTCTTTTTCACCCTCCTTAGTATCTAATTCATTATAAAGAACATTAAAAGCAGAATTTTTAGCGTCACGGATTGTTCTTTTAGACTCTCTGCGGGCCGTTTGATATTTTTCCCAGTTCTCTAAGCTTTCACTTTTAAATCAATTTTTATAACATAACTTCTTATATTTTATCTTTTCTTGCACATTATATTATAACATAATTTTTTATATTTTATTTTTCCTTGCATATTATTATTTCACCATCAACTATTATTATTTATAAAAATTTTTTCTTTTGATTCTCCAAGCACATCTTTTGTATTTGTTTAATAGTGTTTGTTATTTTATCTCACATAATATTTGCTTCTTCATGAACAACCCAAATTTTGAAATCTTGAATTTTACTCATAAAAATAATTTTATTTGTGTTTTTTAGGTTTTCCCATTTAATTCTATGATGATGAGTCCTAGTATGTTTTATTTTACAACTTTTTATCTTAAAATCTAGAACTAATAAAAATATTGAATACTTAAAATCTCACTTGGAATGAGCTTACAATCTTTACAATCTCGACGATCTCTTTTTCTCATAAGAAAATAATCAATTTGTGTTTTATTAGATCCACTCTTATAAGTACTCTTATAAGTAATAAAATGTTCATCTCTTTTTTTGAATAAATTATTAGTAGTAACAAAATCATACACAAAAGCAAAATTTAAAATAACTCTACATTCTTCATTAGTTACTCCAAAACTATAGCCACCATGAGTATTTCTGATCATGTGGTAGAAGTTGGCTTGAATTTGGCTTAAATCCTACCTAAATCCTCTAACAAATTGCCCCTTAGAGGTGTTTGATTAAAAGTAAGATTTAGCATAATTTATACGTATAAATCCTAAAAACTATATGATATATGGGTTTTAAATCTTGTAAAATCTAGATAAATTATTCAACAACTTATTTCAAGATTAAAAAGCTATAAGTTTGTGATATTTTATTATATTAACTTGCTCTGTATCAATGTTAATTAGATTAATTAAATCATAATTAGTATAAAATTGCATTGCAATTAGTCATTAATTAGAATTTTACCAAGGTAATTGAATAATGTTTTCTATTTATTAAATCTAAATAAAAATAATATTAATTTAATTAAATTAATATTTTAAATTTACTCATTTTAATCATTAATAATGATTTAAATTTTTAGTAGTTCTAATTATTCTAAATAGATTAAACCCGACATAGCATAATGTTTTAATTAATCATTAACTAAGAATTCATAAATCTAATTAGATATACGAATTTATATTTAATCAAAATTATTAATAAATGATATTAATTTACTTAATTTATTATCTCTTATAAGCGAGAATTAGAAATGCGTGAGATTCCTATTGGCTTATGAACTGTTTGGCAGGATTTCCTAACGTAAACCCAAATTAAATCAGGCTACCAAACGAAAAAATATTACATCAGTACTACGCACGTAGAGTAACGTGCATAGCCAATGAAATCACGTCACAATACCCCACGCTACAGGAAAAAAAAAACGGCGCAGTAACACGGGAAATATCCCCCCCCGTGTTATTCATGTGTTATTGTGTATTATTCATATGTTATTGTATTATTATAACACCAAAAATATTCTCATGACACAATAACATATGAATAACATACAATAACACCAGAATAACACTGAGGAATATTCCCAACAGAGAAAAAACGACGCAGTAACACGAGAAAATATTTTCCTCATATTATTCATGTGTTATTGTGTGTTATGCATGTGTTATTGTGTTATTATAACACCAGAAATATTCTCACGACACAATAACACATGAATAACACACAATAACACACGAATAACACGGGGGGAATATTTCTCATGTTACCGCGCCGTTTTTTTTTCATTCACGTGGGGTATCGTGGCGTGATTTCATTGGCTACGCACATTATTCTACATGAGTAGTACTGATGTAATATTTTTCCCTACCAAACAGTAGTAGTACTGATGTAATATTTTTCCCTACCAAACAGCCCCATATCAATTTGAGTGGCAATTGCTTTCAAACACCGAAATTCAGAGGAAAGATGCAGTTCATGCTCAATCAACTTATTAGCATTACGCTTGTTGAATTTGTTAGTATAGGGTACGCTTCCCTTTAGAAAAAAAATGCCCCTGCACAAAACCCAGGACAATGGCAGAAATGCGAAATCAAAATCAGAGATACACATCTACAGAGATATGAATATGAAATTTCAACTAAACCCCACCGATACAGCACGTCGAAGAAGACAGAAACACGGGCGTGGCCGATGTGACTCAGATCGTAGGCAGTGATCCCGCAAACGTACATGCCCACCTTGCCTTCCACTATCGTCCGGAAGGGTTCCTTCCGCTTGGTCAAAGTGTTGTAGAGGTGGAAAAAAGTTGCAGCCGCCGCATCGGTGGGGGAGACGTGGGAGGGGAAGTGAAGGGAGTAGAGGAAGAGCAAAGACTTGCTGAGATCGATGGGTTGATTTTTCTCTTGAGGAGAGAGGACGGAAGAGGGTACAGCCTTGCGAGATAGAGAGAGTGTGAGGCCGATGGCAAGAAAAGTAAGGGGTTCCGCAACCACGCCGTGGCATGCGCCATGGGTAGTGTGGCGAGGGGGTCTTGTTCTGCCTGCGGGCTGAGAGCCTGAGACGCGGATACAGAGTGAGAATGAGGGAGAAATTTTGCGTCAGGCTATCCTCATCCTGAGCATGACCAGAGAAATGTGAGATAAAGGAATGAACTCGAGTGCAAATATACGTTTTATAAAGGTTATATATCTCTGTCATTTATTTTTTTTTAAATTTATATATTAGATACTTAATTGTTTTTCATCCATCTTAGTCAAGTCTGGTGTAAGAAGATGTCTTCAATAATGTATTTCGGTGCAAGGGATTCAAAGGCTATGATCTTAATTAGAGAAGCTCATGGAAGATTGATAGAAGGTGGAGTTAGACGTCTTGTGTTTGGGTCTCTTGGAGATGCTATGCTCATATGCATCACTACTATTGGTGTGAACCACACGAAGATGTTGAATATGTCAGTGTTGTTCTTGTCTTCGATGCTTCTGATGGTGAAACCAAAATCCACAGCCCGAGCATTGAACTTATTGTTGAGTACATTTGCATACTTCACATTGAGATGGATAATCGATGAATCGAATGAAAAGAGTGTCGATAAATGATAATTTTTGCGAGTGAACAATAGCTTATGGCCAGTTGGGAAAGTGCAGCGACAGCAAATAACTTCCCAAAAAGAGGGCTCATCGAAAATCCCTGGCTAAAAAAGGAAGCGGAAGTAGTGGGAAGAGAAAGGATTAAGAAAGGAGTACAAGAGAGAAGGGTTAGTGGGACATGTAATACTTATGGCGATAATGACAATATAAGGAGGTTTCATAGGCAGATTAGTTAAACCTATTGAAAAATAAAGAAATAAGGGATGGGAAAGGGGGAAAATAAAAAAAGAAAATAGAAGTTTATTTCTTTTTCTCCCATTACATGTATTTATAAACCTAGCCAAATAAAAATTGGAAAATTACAAACGGGCCAAGGAAATACATGACTTGATTACAAATTACATAAAAAAAAGGATAATGTCTAATTAATTACAAAAATCAGTAAACAAAGTAGGATGTTTCTTGTTCTTTTCGAGTCGAGTGGGTTGAATATTATTTGTGTTCATATCAACTCCTCCCCCTTAAAGTAGGCATTGTCTTCAAAGTTAAAGTTGGGATAAGTCTTTGCGAAAATCATCAAGAGGTACTCAAGTTGAATCTATCATTAGTAAGCCTTCCCATTATATGAGCAATTGTTTTGCAGAGATCAAGTTCTAAAGGTGCTAACAAGACTGGAGGATTGCAACCGGTTGAATGAACGAATGATTATCAACTTTTTTAGTGGGTTATGTGGAGGAGGAAAGTTGAGTTTCTTATAGGCAAATTTCAATAATGAAAAGAGGAAAATTGGATGTGTACGTAAAACTGTTGGAAGTTGTATGCAATAAATGACTACGCCAATGCATTCCAAAATCTCATATGGACCATAAAAAATAACGAGAGAATTTAGAGAATGGATATTGTCATATTGAAGTCTTGCAATAAGGTTGCAGTTTCATTAAAGCAATATCACTTGGTATGAATTGAAGATTCTACCAATGTTGGTCGGCTTTTTTTGTTCATATGATTTTGTATTGCCTGATGATTTTACTTGATTTATCGGAGAATTAAATTAATGTAGTAAAAAGATGATCAACAGCATCCGCTAATGAGGATGTCAGAGTGTAAGAAGGAATATTTGGTGGAAATTTACAATAAATAAATTGAAATGAAGTGAATTCAGTATCAATAAGATGAGTGGTGCCACATGATAATTTATCCCATGGCATTGATATGTATAAAAAATGTAGTATTTTGTGGAGAATTTACTATATTGTTTCTGTTATTTTTATAATTTTTGTGAGTATATTTAGTATGTATGTACAGTATAAACAAAAATTTGAAGCATTTGGAGTAAAATAGGCTCGGTCATAAGAGAGCACCTCAACGCTCGAGAGAAGTGCATCATAGCCCAATTCAACTACTTTCAAAGATAGAACCTGAGAGTACGACAACACGATCCACTAGGCCATAATTCCAGCTCTCCA